GTTAACTAGCATGCAAAAAAATCGATATCTGCATTCGTCACAAGTGGGAAAAATTTAAATCAGCATGGCACTTTACTTTGCCTCATTTGCTTGCTTAAACTCAACGTTGATTCGGATTCCGCAGAACTGGGTTGGGTGTGAAAATGTATTTGCTGTTAACATTCTTTTTCATTCAGTTTTTCAAGTTACGAGTCCTTTTTTAAAGATGATCGTTTTGTGTTCATTTTGTTTAGTTCTTTTTGCGTAACAGATTTAATGTTTAGTATAGAGCTTAGAAAAAATTCGCAGTGTGAGATAGGCAAGAAGTAAGGCATGTAGCAACATCAGCACAGCAAAGGGCACTCCTTTAAAGGTAAGGAAGGGCAAAAATATTCTAAGTCAAGTGATAGCGATTGCTGTATGAGTCGTACTATTTTTTAATCAAGCACGGGCAACGCCGGGCCACGCTGCTAGTTTTTATATAAGAAACAACTATATATTTTGTAGTGAAATTACCGGCAATACATTTTTTCAAAATTACGAACAATACATTTTATTATTTAAAAACTATATATCAAAAAAAAACATACGTTTATTCTGAAAGTATATAAGTATATGTAGCTGAAGCAATTAAACTGCGTACAATACTTATATTAAAATTTCGGCATTAAATAACCCATAATGTCGCTAAAATATATAAAAAACAAATCTATAATAATCTACTTAGCCAATAATAATTTTATTTAAAATGCTTCGTTTATGTGTTATATGTTCAATAAATTTTTCCCATAAAAGTTTGTTTTACTAGCCAGAATGATTTTGCATTACTGACTGAAACATCAGTTACCAGTTATTTTCGATAAAAAAATTAAACGTACACTTGATGGCAAGCAACACCAGAACAGGATAACTGGTTGTTATGTCAAAATAAAATAAAACTACTAACCAGGAGTTATCACGTGATTATTAGTCGATGTGTTAATGACAATATTTATTATCAATATCTATTAGTATTTAGATTTTTGTAATATTTTCATGTCACTTTCGTAATGCTCGTTATAGTAGAGACTTTGTGATCGCAGATACAACTATAGTACCCATTTGGACAATGCTGGCGTCAGACTCCTTCGACTAACACTGGCACTAATAGTACTTGCTCGATAATACTCACTGGAACAGTACTTCATATAGTGATCCGAATAGAGATATAGTATAGTGAACAGAGTAGAGAATATCGGTCCGTATATTACTAGAGGATAGACTAGAAATAGCGATCCAAATAGTAATAGAGGATAGACTAAGAATAGCGATCAAATAGATAAGCTACCCTCCACATATGCGTTTCCTCTATGCTCACGTGGTCTACTTAATTCAGCAATGGGATTGCCTGTGTTTGCTAATTGGCGATCTTTGTTCAAACTCAAGTGTCGGCAGTGACAATTTATTCCTATATAACAGCAACTATATTTTATAATATATTATATGTATACAATTATGTTCTAACATTTAACAAATTAAGATATACTTTTCGGCACCTCTCTCCTTATTCCCTTTCTCCCCTCTGGTGAAGGGGATATCTCTTATGGAGTGGTTTCACAGTGGAGGATTGTATTTGTACTAAGTCGGTCCTAAAATAGGTTCGACGTACAAAACGTTAGGGACTTGATATAATAGGCATGACGCAGAGTAAATCTAGTTGTGGTCGCTGATACTTTAGTATCCGACTAACGGTCATCCGGCGTCGATTGACTGAGCCACTGAGCGACTATATTTAGTCCCCCCACGAGGGCATCATTTGGCACAAGGCCGGTTTAACGTGGGACCACGGTATGGGCTCGGAAAAAAATATGCCCATTGAACCCGTATAAACGTGTTCAGGGTCGGTTTACCTCCCCGAAAGAGACTCCGCCCTTCGGCGCAGCCTCGTTCGGGTTCCTCCCCGACCAAAGTCAGAGAGTTCAACCGGTCAGCCGGTCGTCCGACTTCAGACTGAACTCAAACCGAGCCACTGAGCGACGATATTCAGTCACCTTCACCACGAGGGCGTCATGTGGCACAAGGCCTTTTTAACGTGGGATCTCCGAGCCCGTGGGCTCGGCTAAAAATATGACTATTGAACCCGTATAAACGAGTTCAGGGTCGGTTTACCTCCCAGAAAGAGAATCCGCCTTCGATGTAGCCTCTTTCGGGTTCCTCCCCTCCCGAAGGCAGAGTTCAACCGGTCAGCCGGTCGTCCGACTTCAGACTGAACTCAGACCAAGCCACTGAGCGACTCCCTCGTTACTCTTACTACTCCTACTTATTATAGGTGGGAGAGTCTATTACCTATAGAATAGGTGTGTTCCATTATAACAATATCAGTGAAGGACTAGCCTACTCCTGGTGAGTAGTGAGAAATGGGATTTTGGTGAACAACTCTGCGGGACGGAGAAGTCCACACACGTTGCCAGAAATGCCTTCATAGCGGCTCAAAGGGGGTTGAGACAGGTGAGATCTGGCAAATCTGGTTGCATCGGACTGTCGGGTGGTTGGTCTGTCAAGGTGCACCTTGGTTACCTGCTTTTTCCCACCAGTTTGACCGTTGATATCGTGTAGATCTTTGACTTGTCCCACCTTCTCCTCAACCTTACCGCCATGGATGGCTCTACATGTATTGAAACTCCAAAGAGAATATACTCTATACTATGCTGTTATTTTTTACAATAAATATGTATTTTTATACTTTCTTAGCGATTTTTTTTTTGTCTTTTCACTATTTGTCCATAACTGTGACCCCAACCGGTGCTACCACCACTGGTCAGAATGAACCTGGGATCAATGAAATGAAGAAGTGTTTTCACGCTTTTCAAAACTTCCACTCTCCCGATCAGAGGTCTTGCTGCCGGATGTGGTTTATCGTCATACTAAGGACGCGGCTATTATAATTGCGGCGTTTCAAGTCAGGTTTCGTAATTGGCATCTGGGCGTCAATATTAAATATTTCGTATATACACTCTTGGGATCAATAGAATACGCAAGCACTCTTCCTTAACAAAGAATGACGATATATATATATTATACTGGATGTTGGAGTGAACGTTTAGTTATGAAATATATCTTTTTAACTTATTATTACTTTGATGACAATAATAGAAAAAATCAATAAATCAAAAAAGAGTAAGAGTATAAAATTATAATTAAATATATTAAAATACATAGAACTGTATTTAATACTTATATTTAAATGCAATAATATGCAATATCTTACAAACAAATAAATTTATTTTTATGTCCACCTAGATATTTACCCATGCTTCTCACTGAGACGGGATGCGACATATGGTTGAGCTTAATGTGCGGAAACAGAGTACGTACATTACTGGCAAGTATAAATATTGTTCAAACCCCAGCAATCGTTCGTTTGAGCTTGCCTACAGTAGCGACCACCGATCCTCCTCTCTAGTGCCATGAGGGTGGTGCATCCTCGGGATGCTATTTCTCAGGGCCGGGACCTCCTAGTATTACTTTCCGCAGCTGAATCTCTGCCCGCAGACTGAGCCACAACTGACAGATGGATATAAATACGCGGAACAGGGGTATAATTAATGCGGATCGATTAAGACCATGTACTGGTACGGGTTAAAACTTTTCTTGTGATTATATAATTTGCCAAAAAATACTTACAAAAATATACAAAGACACTCATTTATTAAAATTAGACTCGAATAATAATTATTACAATATATGATAAATATTACAGAAATAAAGAGATTTTAATTTTATTCGACGATGAAAGGAAATTGAACTTCACCTCCATGTTACTTCACTCGATAGAGCGACGTTTCTTGGTTAAAAAAAACAACGATAAAAATATTTTTAAATAAAAAAAAAGATGTAACGACGTTTGAGATCCGGGTTAGATAAACCAACAATAAAAATAAGATTCTTAAAATAGCTAAAAGTTATGTCCATTTTTTTTTTAAATCAAGAAAACAAGAGATGAAAATCAGTAGAAATAAGCAGGAAAGAGAGACGATATTAACCGATAAGTCAAACATTGATTATCTGCCCTTTAATGACGGACGCCAGTGCCACCATTTGAGCAGATAAATTGGAGAATTACTTTTCTTATTTGTTTCATTTTTTTTTTTAATAAATTACTCTGTGCGAAATCTTCAGTTATCTTTTAGAATGTCATTGTTCTGAGATGAGGTTTATATCATTTTCAGTTGACAACACACCCATAGTTAAAAGCATATTTTAGTCGTTTTTTTTTCACACATCATGGCTAATAGTGAAAATCTTAATGAAAAATTTCGTAATTTTCACCAAAGAAATTAATGAAAAAAGAATGAAAAAAATGTCATAAAAAGTTAAAAAAATTTAGCAAGAATAATCCAAAAATTCTTAATAAAAAAAATGTACGAATTCTTAAAAAGAAATCAAGATTTCAGATAAAAAATCAAGGAAATTTTAATAAAATAATTCAAAGAAACTATGCAAAAACTAAAGAAAGGCTTAAGATCAACATGATGTTAGTGCAAGAGTGTTCAGAATTATTCTAAAGTAATCAACGTAATAACTCAAAGAAATGGTAGAATCTTTGAAAATGCAAAAGCCTTCAATTACACTGTTGAATGGACGAAGAAAGGCTTGCTACTGTGACACAATATCTTTTAGCTTGATAACAAGGTATATCCACAGGATATTGATACAATCATTAGTACTGAATACTCGATCCTAACTTAGATACTGAACTACGAAAAATGGTCACGGTTCACCCTAACAGTAAAATGAACCCACAAGCATCATGTATGAAAAATGGACAATGTGAGAAATGTTATCCAAAACACTTCATTAATGAAACTAATACTAGAGTGACAGAATATCTTATCGAGAGAAGATCACCTGTAAATGGAGGTGAAACTGCTGTCATAACAAGAAATATACAAACTTATACAATGGATAATACATGGATTGTTCCTTATTCTTCTGTTATTTCAAAAGACTTTAAAGGACATATTAATGTACAACTAAGCTGTTCATTTCATATACATAATGAAGTATATTAATAAAGGCTGTGATGCAGCTGTTTTGCGACTAGTAGATACTGGCTGCAGGAAACGAAGATGAAGTTGACAACTTCTTAACAAGAATATTTATTAATGTAAATGATGCTACTTACAGGATAGAATGTGTCTTTAAAACAAAGTTTAACCTAGCTTGCTAGTATATATATATATATATATATATATATATATATGAAAATATATAGAAAATAGGAAGGAACTGGTTAGGTAAATAATGCAAAGTTCCTTAGTATTTTAGTTATTATTTTTAAAAAATAGTGCTCGATACAAAAGTAGAGCATAAATATAATTATTTATTAAAAAATATGATTCCAACTCGCGACATAAGAGGTCTCATGTTTCAAAACGAGAGCCGAAAACTTCAATATAATTATTTGAATTAAATTGAGTTAAAGTAAGCTCTGTTCCATCTTCAAGCGAAATTTTTTTTGAATAACGTATATCTGAATATAACGTATATATATATATATATATATATATATATATATATATATGTGTGTGTGTGTGTGTGTGTGTGTGTGTGTGTGTTTGTGTGTGTGTGTTTGTGTGTGTGCGTATGTGTGTATGTGTGTGAATTCGCATTAAACATAGATTGGAATATGCCAATGATAGGATAAGGAACAAACAGAAGACGTTTATAATTTTAAAATTTAGCTTTTATTTAATATATATTAGAATAAACTTCTGGGAACCGACAGCCAAACACCAGCACACACGGTTTAATTATAGTGCTGAAGGCCTTGTGCAGAATCAAACACACTTTTTGAAGTGCCGAATACAGAGACATGGTGCACTAAGTGTCACAAGGCCCCCAAACGACCCTCTGCAGGTTTTGAATTCAGAGTTGTCCTTCTCCTAGACAAATTGATTCAAAGGCTATAGAAGCCAGTCGGTCCTGCTATTTACCCATAGCCGGAGGGAGAAGAAGTGGATACGTCACACACACACACACACACACACACACACGCACACACACACACACACACACACGCACGCATACACACACATTTTTTAATGTATTGCTAGCAATAAATTTTAAATGTATTATCGGTAATAACTTTTTTTCTAAATTTATTGATTGTAATCTGATTCAGAATGAGATAAACCAATGCAGAATTTATATATCCGCCATTGTTTTTCAGTGACCAAAATCAATCTTAATATTACAGTGTAACCCGGATATAAGAGAGTTGTCGGGACCGGAGAAGAAGTCTCTTATATCCGGGTTTCTCTTATATCCGTGTTTGGTCTATTTTATATACATTAACACAGGCTCTAATTTGGGACCAGACAAAATCTCTCTTATATCCGGGTCTCTTTTATATCCGGGTCTCTTATATACGGGTTACACTGTATAAGATATGTAGATGACGATATTGATAGTAGACAGAGAAAAGAAACTATAATAACTCTTATAGAAGGTGCTCATGGAAAGCGAGAAGAAAGACCTGGGCATTAATTATATGAAGATAGAATGCACGGTTGCTTGCCAATGGAACAGCCAAACAGGCAAATTACAAATTCGAGATGCCAAAATCAAACGAGTAATGTAATTTTAACAGAAGAAAATACCAAATGTTTGACACCAAAATGTTTCCGAAAATTTCGACACCAAAATCCGAGGGCGCATGGAAATTAAATACACCGAGGATCGATGAATCGAACATATGAGCAACGACAAAGTTTTAGATAAAAAAAGAACACAAAATGGACACTGATACTTAATATCAGGTAAAGACCATTGGCATTTCTACCAAAGTTGAACTGGAATATTTCATGCTCACATGACGGACTAAATGCAAGTTGGGAGACGAAAGCTGCATATAACCTACTAAAAAGGTTGTTTATCTGGTTGCTAGAACAGGAATTAATAGGTATAGCAAAAGACAAAACATTATCAAGGGGAATAACCGATAGGATATTGTGGTGGGCAAGGATCGTCCAGGCCCTGAAATAACAGAGCACATAGAAGAATATTTCATATCTATAAATCTACGTAATATTGTTTGATCCGTGTAAATCTATGCAATGGTTATTTAAAATCTATATAATAAATGCCAATATCAATATTTCAGACTTTTTCAATTAAAAGAACACACCTCTCAGTAACTTAGCTCATCTTCTTCTTCTATATAATAAATGCCAATGCAAGTGTGTCATTTTTTCAATTAAAGAGACACAACTCTCATTAGTTCGTTTCCTTCTTCTATATAATAAAGGCCAATGTCCGTATGTCAGACTTTTTTCTATTAAAGGGATACAACTCTAAATAGTACATCGTTGAGCTTTAAAAAGTTAAGCTTAAATATTAATGAAACACTTAAATGCAGCGAACAATTTGAGTTCTGTAATTTATTGTTGACTATAACACCTACTGCTCCCTACCTAGTGTGATGAAGATCCAATCAAAAGCCCTCCGCATGAGCTATCTTAAATGCTGCCCAACTGGGCGGCTTTTAAGCTAGTTTATAAATATGTGTTTTAAACCGTAAAAAATTTAACGGTTTTCCTATTTAATATTTCTGATGAATCTTACTTCTGCGGTTAATGACTGAGTAAGCTCATGGCGAGTTCTATGAGAATAAAATATCCATATATATTGCCATCGTTAAAATATTTAAGCTTAACAATTTTAACAAACTCTTGTAATATGAAACATAAATATGAAGGCTACTCGTTATTTTAAAAAAGTGAGTACAAATGGAAAGATTTGAATTTGACAACATTTTTCATTTGATTGAAGAAGTCTTTAAACATTTCTATCTTTCTTTCTTCTCACCCTTTCTTAAAAGAGAGACAGCCTGATCAGCGCACCCCAAATTATTTGATAAAAGTATATGTAGTTCCTTCCCCATTGACAGTTCAACCACTCACCTGAACTGACATAAATTAATGGTTGTTTGGTCGTAAAAACGTTACTAGTTTTGGAGATACTGAATAGTACAAGCGAGGGGTTGTGTGTTTTGATGTGTTGCTAAGTTTTATCTTGATTGGTACTATAGAAATAGATATCCAACAACATGGAAAGCAAGAATCAGCAACGCATATATTGTATAACCTGAAGAGATCAGAATCAAGTTCAGGGGCATATTTCTTAATGAAAGTTGCAGGGATACTGTTGCGCATGTGCGTAATGTGTGTTCGAAAGGAATTATCAGAAGACTTAAATTATCAGAAGGTTTGAAATTGTGTGCGTTCAATAATCTTCCATCCACAACAATTAATACAAGATAGAGAATAATAAAGATTCATAAACATCTTGTTTCAAAACATAACAATTGAATTTATTAATATTTGTTATACACTGCGTGCGAACTGAAAAGTTAGGACAGAGTCATGTCCCTTTGATTAGGTAATAGTTGTACCTGAGTTCATATTAAAAGGAAGTAATATTAAACTGTAATTTAGAAGAATAAAGTTTCTTTAGCATGTTTGGAATTGTGTATTGTACAAGTTGGTAAAAGTTCAGAAGAGATTTCAGAGTTCCTACTTGCGTGAATGTTGGTAATGGTCTTTAACGTCTGACCGTAATGGCTAGGACGGGAGTTCTTGAAGATTATATCTTGGTACTTGGTAGCAATGAATGAGACGCGCGAGAGAGAGATGAATGAAAAGAAACTACTCAGGGAGTTTACACGTGTTCTGTTTATATAATTGTCCTGTATCACGTCGGAGGCTCCAAGCATATTGAGCGGGAAAACAGATTGATCGCGTGCAGGCGGTGTGATTGGTCGGAACTGACCAATCAGCAGGCTAGATTGAAGGTGATTGACCAATAAATACTTGTTAGACATTTGTAAGATTGTGATGGTGAAAATTATAACAGGAATAGTGCATTTCCTAGCACGGGTTAACTAGCTTGTTGTGGAAGAGTCCACAATACCATCGAGTAATATTCCGTGTAGGGTTCATGTTTAGAGACGATACTGTAAAACACGGACGGGATTACGTGCATATCACACAGTAGAGACTCAACTGTAAGTGTGAAGTCAGGCTTAGATAGTCCTAATGAATCGAGAGTAGAATTAGAACAGAATTTGCGTGCAAATCATTCTGTTTTATCGGCAGAATATTGCAGAACTTCAAACCGAGTGAAGAGAGGAGAGACTGCGGACAAACCCTTATTTAATACTCTCTTACACAGCCCTAGCACGAAGTCACTGAGTCGCTATTCTGAGCAGACCTTAGTTACAGTTTCTGGAAAAGAGCGTGTTATCTAGCATGATCAATAATTAGAACAAGGCCAGCACGCTCAAGTCCTCGGTCCCGATGACTTGTGACTTCTTGTTAGCGGCTGTGAAGGAGAGTATTAAATAAGGGTAAATCTCTTCTCTCTTCAAGCAGTTTGATGAGCTGTCATGTTATGTCGATTTTAACAGAACGATTTGAACGCAAATTCTGTTCTAATTTTAATTCTGATTCATTCGGAGTATCTGTGCGTGACTTCACACTTAGAATTGTGTCTCCTGTGTGATAAGTATCTAATCCCGTCCATGTTTTACACTATCATCTCCAAACAGGAGCCCTACACGGAAAGTTACTCGATGGTATCCCTTCAACTGACATTAAGAAATATCTCCCTGAACTGGATTCTGATCTCTTCAGGTTCTACAATAGATGCCTTGCTGATTCTTGCTTTCCAGGTTGTTGTATATATCTTTCTCTAGTACTAATTACGGTAAAATCTTAACAACACATTAAAAGACACCACTCCTGGATTGTAATATTCAATATCTTCAAAACTAGTAAAGTTTTCGCTAGCAAGCAGACTTTAATCTACGCTAGTTCCGATGAGCGGGTGTAATGTCAATGAGGAAGGAACTACATATACTTTTATCAAATAATTTGTGGTGCGCTGATCAGGCTGTGTCTATAATGATTTTCTAAGCATAGCTTAAATGTGGCACAAGGCCGAAAGTATGGGAGGATCGAACTCACTATTCAGTCGTAATTGTTCTAGTGAGACAAGCTTGCTAACCATTACACCGCCTACGGAGCTAAGGCATATCAGTCCACAGATAAAT